TAGTTGGGACCACAGGCACACTCCACTACTCACAGCTTTAGTTTTCAAAAGTGGTTCGTGTACTATACGCCTAGCCTGTCGGTCTGCGGGGGCGGGGAGGACCACTGGTGTCCTTGCAGCACAGGAAGCTCCAGGGACATTCTGAGCTCTCATTTACTTACTGACTGAATAAAAGCGGGAAGATGTGAAAGTATTTATAAGGCTGAAATAGCAAAACAGATGAAAGAGTGAAGAAGGGGACCAAAAACGAGCCAAAAGTTTGAAAGATGAACAGACGAGGGCTCAAATTTAAGATAAAGGGGGAGAAAGGGAGAAAGAAGTGCTGCGCCCAGCACTTGGTGCTAATACCTTGGCATACAATGTTTCACATGAGACACAGATTCATGGTTGTTATACAACTATGAAATATAGTTTTATAATACATAGGCTATTCATTAGCATAAGAGCCAAACAGCAGAAACAGCCTAAATGTTCACCAACTGATGGATAAATTATGACTTACTCATATAATGAACTATTCAGCATAAAAATATGAAGTACATGCTACAACCCATGTGAACCTTCAAAACATGCTGAAGAAAATATTCAGTTACAAAATATCATGTACATGTAATCTCCGCTCTCTGGAAGGCTGAGGCAGGAGGATTGCAAATTCAGGCCCAGCTCTGGCAACTTGGTAACTTAGCAAGACTCTCAAAAAAAATTCTATACCAGCTAGTCTATTAATATAAAATATCCAGAATAAGTGAATCCAGAGAGACAGAAAGCAGACTAATGTAACTCAGGGGTGGGGGCAGCAGAAGGAATAGAGGTTAGAAGGGAATCAATGTTAATGGGTAGGGTGTTTTAAAGTTTATTATTATTTGGTGTTTTGAGACAGTATCTCACTGTATAGCCCAGGCTGGCCACAAACTTGAATCTTCCTGCCTCAGCCTCCTGAGTGCTGGCATTACAGGTGTGTGCCACCGTGCCTAGCAAGGATGTCTCTTTGAGAGGAAATTAAAATATTCTACAGTTAGATTGTAGTGATGTCTGCAAACCTCATGAATATTCTAAAAATCAACAACTGTATACTTTAGATGAATTATATAGTACATGGATTGTATCTCAACAAAGCAATTAAGGAAAAGTGAAAAATACTGCACAAACCATCCTTTAAGTGGTTCACGTCTCTCCTTCATGCGGCACAGACATCAATGTGCTACGCAGCCACACGGGTATTTGTGCTTGTGCAATGTTCCCCTGCATTAACACGCTGACATTTACTTAACTGTTTGTTATTAAACCAAATTATTTCTAACTGCTGTGTTAAACCCCCGTGTCTCGGCACAGCATGTTACACCGCCATGATTTTTACACGAAAATACAGACGTGTTCACTTTATAGGGGATGAAGAGACATAGGGCTGCACCCTATAAAAGGACAGCTGCGTAGTGGGCTGGGACAGAGCTCAAGGGTAGAGCACTCACGTAACACGTACGATGCCCCGGATGCAGCCCCCGCGCAGAAAAAGATGTGCCCTGCCCAGCTGCTAACCCACACTCATCCCGACAGAGAGTATGAGCACTTCTTTCTCCGCAGTTCCACCAGTGCCGAGTATCATCAAACTTACTAATCTCTCATAACAGACGAAAAATAACGATGGGTGATAATGTAGATGTGCATTACTTTGATTACTGAATGTGAACATCATTTTTAATAGTCATTTTTATTAAGAAATCCCCATGTTTCTTTCCTTTTTCTATTTTTTTGTCATTGTATTATCCTGACATGATACAAGTTGTTTTTATCCATTTGTCTTGTAATTTTATTTACAGCATACCTCTCCCTATATATTCTAATATTTCATATACTTAAATCTATTATTCTTTTTACTTATGGCTCCTAGTTTATTTTTATTTATTTATTTACTTTTCGGTACCGGGAATCGAACTCAGGACCTCATACTCGGGGCAAGAGCTGTGCTGTTGAGCTAGACCCCAGCCCCTGGTTCGGCTTCGTATCTAGTTTTTACCACCCCAATATCGTGAAAATATGGTATTTTCTTCTGCTACAAGGCATTTTATTTGAATAATCCAATCACTGACCACTGATCTACGGTCACGTGGCAGACCTGAACTCTTAAGTCTGGCCCGTGAAATGCACTGAAAAGAAGACGTACCTAATTGCTGAGCCCACTGTATGGCGGTCCCAGTGTCTCCCGCGTTGACTTCAGCTAAGTACACGACTTCTTGCCCAATCTTCCACCCAATTAACGGATAAAAGCCTTAGGAAGCAAGGAAGCAAACAAATAACGTAAGTCAGATGGTAACTGCAATTCAGGCCACCAGAACCTTCCACAGCCTGTACCTTATCTTTGAGCTCTCCCTTTTTTTTCTATTTACTTGGCCCAAGCTTGCTCTGCAGAGCCAGTTTCTCTCCAGCTCCTTATTTCTGCTTTCTTAAACTTCGCCACTGCTTAAATAAACAATTCAGGCAACTATACTAGAACAGTTTGATGATATGCAAAACATGGCAAAGTTCCCATGACGTCAGGCTGCCTGAGCACAAATCCTAGCGCTCGCATACTTACCAGCTCTTATTTTACCAGTTACCAGTTTTAACCTTGGTTTCTTCATCTGTAAAATGGTCCACCTACCTCAGAGAGATGCTGTAGGAATGGCCTGAATTAATATATGAAAAGAACTTAAACCAGTGCCTCCCATAAAATATGAGCTAAAAACATTAGTTTGGTTGGAGGGGGCTCTGGGGATTGAACCCAGGGCCTCATGCACGCTGGACAAGTGCTCTACCACTGCGCTGTATTGCCAGCACCTGAATATTATATAACAGTAAATACTTTATATACAGTATATATATACTATATATTTAACAGTATATGCAACAGTAAATACTTTATATAACAGTAAATAACAGTATAATATAACAGTAAATACTTTAATCAGAAATAAAGGTTACTATGAGACTGGTTTGCTCTAGAGAACTAACCATGCTAACTCACAGTTCATAGGGGAAGAGACCATAGAGAAAAGATTTAATTTTTTTTTTTTTTTCTTTTTTGCGGTACCGGGGATTGAACTCATAACCTTGTGCTTGCCAGGCAGGCACTTATGCCACTGAGCTATATCCCCAGCCCCGAGAAAAGATTTACAACCAACTCTGACTAACTGTGTGAGGAGACCAGCACCCAGATTATGAGGCCCCAGCTCCAGAGCACAGCACCACACACCAGATCTTTTCGTTTGCACTTTGCAAGGTTTCTTCCATTTGGGAGTGAATTCTTAGCAACTATCACTGAAATCTTAAACATGCATGGACCACTAGATGACAACTACTATCCAAGAACATTTCACAAAAAGAGCAATAATTTCCTGACAATGTGGTGGCACACACCTGTAATCCCAGCACTCAGGAGGCTGAGGCAGGAGGATTGCTGTGTATTTGAGGCCATCCTGGGCTACATAGTGAATTCAAGGCCAGCCTGAACTACACAGCGAGACCATGTCTCAAAGAAGAAAAGAATAATTTCCCAAAACCCAGAAAAAATATTAGGTGTGGGGCTACAGCACTATGGTAAAGCACTTGCTTAGCATGTGCAAGGCCTTATGTTTGATCCACAACTCTCCCAAAAGGAAACAAAGGAAAAGGAAAACAAGTTAGAAGGCCAAGTGCGGTGGCGCACACCTGTAATCCCAGTGCTAGGTAGGCTGAGGCAGGAGGATCTCTGTGCGTTCAAGGCCAGCCTCCGCTACAAAGTGAGTTCAAGGCTGGGCCAAACTGCATGGTGAAACCCTGTCTCAAAAAGACCAAAAAAGGGCCAGAGATATAGCTCAGCAGCATAAGTGCTTGCCTGGCAAGCCTGAGGTCATGAGTTTGATTCCCAGTACCAAAAAAAAAACAAAGAACACAAATTAGAGCCGCGATAGGAAATAAAACATACGAAAAAATGAAATACTTGGAGAACTGTCCAAAATACCCTAATCCTTCTGGTTTTTTCTATAACATCTCTTTTATTTTTTAATGCTGTTAATTTAAAGGAAAGAAAATAGGGGTTGTCTCTAATAGCAATAACAATAATAATCATACTCCTATTGTGTTCCACAATAACTTTAACATAAAATGGGAAAATAGTGTAAAAAACACAAAACAAATAAATATACATGGAAAAAGTGGTGTTTTATTTAAAAACAGAGTGATTCCAAGTATTTACCTGAGGCACTGTACGGAGGGTCCTTGCCAGTATTTATATCCAGAAAAGTCCCCGTTCCCATGGTTAACTTCACGTCCCCCGTCTGGAAGCAGCATTCTCCAAACATGGCCGACTGCTGGTCGCCGACCTATGGGCACAGCGGGCGTCACCCAGGCCCTGGGGCGATCCGCCCCGTCCCATCGCCTCGCTTACTGCACCCTCTTTGCTTTTTCTTCTTCTTTTTTCCTTCCCAGTACT